GCAACATTTCGCTTAGTTGGATCCTAAGCGGTGCTGCTAGCTTACTCGGGGGTCTGGTCAGGAGACAAGAGCTCTGCCCCGAGCGGAGGCCGAACTGATTCCTGAACCGATCTCATTTATAATGGGTCAGGTTGGCACTGATTGACTGCAGCTTTCCGAGGGATTCAAAGTCGAAGCTGGAGACACCAAACCGTTAGGGGGCAACGTAAATGCAAAAGTAGGCAAATAGGTAAGCCGACAGCACATCCCTTCTTGAGTCAACGTCGGAGTGAACCAAAACTTATACTGTGCTGCGCGGTGTCAGATCCGGACCCAACCGCATGGTGTCAGCCAGCGCCCGAATCGATTCCGCTGCTGCAGTCAAACAAAATGTGGTGTTCCGAGGGCGCGGATGCAACAAACGTGTCATAATACTTCTATGTTTACTATCTTCAAATGCTTTGAAACTAACAAAACATAAGATAGAATAATGCGTTTTAGCCTTCACAAATCGCCAACCGCTCAAATATTACCCATTTAAGTTGTATTCGGTCACCACGCCACCGTCCACTCTTGAAATCGAAAGTACCAAAGCATGCCATCCGCCCCAGCAAGACCGAGCTCCGGACGTAACTCCGCGAGACGGGTGCAGTGCATGGCACAGGCCCCTGGCAAATTACAATGTGGCACATGCACACGGGCAAGATGTCGCGGCATGCCAAGTATGAAAATAAACACAAATTTGTCTGTACTTGCAATTCATTTGAAAGCAGGAAGCAGGAAAAGTTTGTTTTCATTTCGATGCACCTGTTTTATGTAATACAACCAAATGAGTTTCTAACCGACAGTACCAATTTTCTGCGCAAAATACTGCTGGTGACAACGCATCTCGTTTCAAGGTTCACAGACGGCTTTTTTAAGACCAAATATGCACCACTTAGTGACAAATTCTTCTGATTCGTCTGATACCGTTCTTTGTGCCAGGGCTTCACGCTGTCATAATCGTGTCAACTGTGGTGCTCGCAAGGATTACTGTTAACATCTGCGAAACGGATAGGCAGCAGTACTATTTTTATTATAACACTGTTTTTGTTTTTGTGTTGCGACCGAAACCCAATAGCTACAATACTCCAGTTGTGCGTCATTTGCTGCCGCTGACAACCTGCTTCTGAAAATCGGAGTTGTATACCCGTTGGCAAAAACAAACAGTAAGAAAACCCTTTTTATGGGTCCAATCCTTCTAAAATGTGATTATACACCAGTTAGACATGGGGAACACCGACGAGGCTTGGCAATTCTAGTTCCCACCGCGCACAACTGAGATAGCAAAAGGTGGCTTTCCCGGCCCAGAAGACTGTCACACAATGGAGCCGTGGCTATTTGTACACCCCGCTGTCTAGATAACGCTGTCATAGCGCTCTAATAGTTGGCGTAAGGCTACTTTGTAGTAGCCCCCGCCACCCTTACGTTTCATCGGCATAATGGTGAGCGTTCCACATTTGTGGGGTTTTGAACTGAAATAGCCATCTTGAATTTCGTTCGGTGCTGTTCTCAGCCCTGTTCTTTCCAGTTTATGAGCCACACGCCCGAGCAGATGTGCAGACTATTTCGGGTAGACTATTTTAAGGTCACCTAAGCATCCCTGACGTCATACTAATGTCATTAAAATCCTGTCATTCCACTGGCCATGTGGCGATCAATGCCAAGAAAAACATACTTATCGAGTCGCTCAAATCTGTTGTTCGTGAGCACGATCTCAAGATATAACGTCCGTCAACTGGCCCTCAATCAATGTTGAGTCAGGTGCGATGGCGTAATCAAATAATGATGAATTGGGACGCACATTTAAGGGAATGTTTCACATTTCAAGATATTGAAGCAAGCGCCAGATTTGATGAAACAAGCTCGCGTATAACGTTTGGTATACTTTTTAAAGGGAAAGGACTGCTCTACACACAGCACAATTATCCGTTTAGTAAATATGCTCCTCAATGCGTCATGATTTGATCACGTCATCCTACCTTGCACAACAGATATCGAGAGCTGGTTGACCGCAGTTTTATCAGGATATCCCACTCAAAAACGCCAGATATCTACCCCTCCACAATTAAATTTGTACCTGACCTTGAAAGCCGCATGGCTTATGGAATGCCAGGATTTGAATGACAAGATGACTTTGAAATGCCCTCCCCACATACATTTCCCAATTTTCGCGGGCATGTACCTCAGAAACAAGGGCTTAGGTCCCAAGGAGGGCAGGATCTTGAACAGCATCGAAATGTCTTCAAGATGGCTATTTCTGTTGAAACCCCCTATAAATGTGGAACAGTTCCTTTAACTAAACAAAGAAATTGTGCCTCATGCAGCAGCCGTTTCCACTTCTGGCTATAAGCGAGTTTACTTTATCATATCTGATGGTTGCTTGACTATCTTGAAATGTGAAACATTCCCTTTAAGGCAACATTCAAAGTCATTTAGTGGAAGAGTCTGCTTTAGGCAACAGTTCCTCTGCTTTGTAAATATGTTCAACACCTTACTTTTTATGACGTCATCATGCCTTGCACAACCTTAGCAGCCAATTAACGGCCGTCGTATCTGGAATCGTGCGCAAGAACGCCAGACATGAGCGACTCAACAATTTTAATTTTCTCGACCTTGAGCGCCTGATACCCAAGGAAACAGGAGGATCGTAATGACGTTATTGTGGCGTCATGGATGCCTGGGTGACCTTGACGTAGGCTCCCCGAAATAGCCTGCACACCTCCGCGGGCGTATAGCTCAGAAACTGCGAGCGTTCAGGGCTGTGTACTGCTCCGAATGATCTTCCAGAAGGCTGTTTCATTTAAAAAACCTCATGCAGATGTGCAACATTCCCTTTAAAGGTTTTAATTTCGCTCAAACTCTGCATCGCGGAGCGAGAACCGCTGGCACCAAGAGCCGCACGACGTGAGCCTGGTGACGCCGTGGATTTGTACGTGCGTGTTTCAATAATGTTTGTTTTTAGTATACCATGTCGCCTTCAGGAAACCTACCCAAGTCTTTTCTAGCATGGGCTCTATCTAGAGCCGCCAATCAGGCCCTGAGAGCGTGTGCGAAGTGAAATTCTGACACCAGCCGAGGGCAGGGCGTGCCGATGGTTCTCCCGGGTACCAGCCAGCTCTCTCTCTCTCTCTCCTGCCCTGACGGAGGACACGCACGGGCGCCGATCTCGCTCCTCCTCCCCAGGCACGCGGTCTCAAACAACCACCATTGACTCGCCCTTTCCCGCAGCGGCCAGAAATGCTGGTCGGCCATCAGGGCTCCACGACACGCCCAGCAGCTGCGACTGTATACTGCATACATATCACCCAGCAGCTGCGACTGTACGTTGTCGGCCGCCTCTCACCCGGACACGTGGCGCGAGCACTGTCAAGATTAGGAACACCAGACCTCTGGTGTCCGTAACACCCAGCGACACCACCGAGCTACCAGCACCCCAGCGAAACCCCAGCAAGGGACAACGACCATGCAAGAGACAATGACGTTGACTTATAAGGATGTACTCGCACAACAAAACCCATGCTCAGACCATCTCTTGCTGATATTTTTACTTGGAACTTGGGATGAATTGCAGTCATCCTCGTAACAATGGCAACAGCATCACGTATGAACAGCATGTAACAAATGTGGATTCAGGAATCAATATGCTTCTTTAAAAGAAACATCAGACATGCACCCATCTGTTTAACCATAATAAACATGTGTAAATGTGGGTAACTGGCAGGGGTAGCAAAAATCCTGCAGAACAGGGGGGGGGGGGGGGCTGATCATCATTTAATATAATTTCTTTCCAAGTCAATACCCACTTCTAATCTACCCAAACTCTAATAAAAAAATAAAAATGCAGGGCTCAGCCCACTGCCCACATTTATGACGTACTGTCACATGGCACAAGCTCAACAGAGAGCCACAGGGCCCTGTTCAAGCTATAATTCTATCCACCAAGGGCATAGTTTCTTATTCAGTTGGGGGGGGGGGGGGGGCAGCACAACAAAGTTGGGCTCCAGCCCTCTCTCTACCCCTTGCACTTTGAGAAGGACATGAGCAAAATCTGGGGAGAAACCCATTTATCAGCATCTGTTGAGTTGAGTTGAGCCATTTTTCACTCCTCAGCCCTCTCCACCAACTCATCTTGCAACACTATGCCACTGCTCCCTACCCAATACAGCAGTATGGTTCTTGGAACATGTCACAACCCAGAACATCACCTGATTGTTCAATTGATAACTCCCAATATTCATGTATTATTTCCCATTTTTCAAAAAAAAATTATGGATCCTGGCCAATAGCCACTTCCCAATGTCACGCCATGCATGGGGTCAAACAAAGTATTATGAGAAAGCTGAAAATGAACCTCCTTCAATGACATGGAGAATGAACACATTGTTCATCCAATGGCATCCTCAAGATACCTAAATATGCTTTAAGAAAATTTATGTCCAAAAAACAGCACATCAATGCATAACGACGGACTAAGGGAGCCAAACAAACCAGATTCGGCTGGTCCTTTCCTGTTTTGTACAGGAAATCATCCCGGTGACGTCATTAACCACACGCAGTTGAATGCCCCGAGGCGTCCTATCCGACGTAAACAAACGGACGCCATGTTTGACGTGTGCACGACCATAACACACCACTCCACCGGCACAACGCCACACATCAATAAATCACACAGAAAGCATTGGTTAAGAAATAATTCACAGAGCAGCGATGATCAGCTCGATTACAGCGGCGACCGACCTTAAATTATCTAACTTCTCGTAATTTATCGACAACCACTGAACGGATTGGTACCGACTTTCTCCGTTGTAGGTCGAACCAGAGGAAGTTTCGATCACGAACCACACAAAGCAGCACGTGCATCAAGATTACCTAGAGAAAAAATCGTAAGTCAAAGGACAAGTTAACTATTCAAAGAGAAAGTTGAAAGACCGGTGCGGCGTGGTCCGGCGGCCATTAGGTTCATGACTCAGCAATCTTACCTCAAACTGCCAATTTGCACCTTGCAGGAGCTGTCTTGCTTGATCTCTAGCGCATCCAGCAGCCATAACGAACTGGTTCACCAACAATTCATTGCGTAGGGAATCCATCTTGTACACTGTTTGGATACTAGTCCCGCAGACGCACGCACACGGACAGATCCGGAGCACGACTGTTTTGGTTTGTGGGAATTGACGTCACACCACAACATGGCTGTGATTGGTCCGCCCTATCTACGGTTGGCAATAAGCTAGCTACAATTTGTGAACACAAAGATGAAGTTACCAAAGTGTACCAGGAATACACTGCCATTATATTTGTAGACGATCTAAAATATATCTAATCTTATAAGAAATAAATTTTCCGTTAGTTTTAAGTTTTGGTAATCCTCCCAAAATGAATGTGAATTTACGTAACAGCAATGTGGGGATTCAGTACACATCAAACTAGTCGTTGCCACCTCAAAACTGGCGGAGGTGGGTCTTTTCTGACGCAGGAGCGGCGTGCAAAGTATGGCGATGCAACATACAGGACGAAATCTAGTGGCTTTATGTGCTTGTTTCTGATAATATCCCAGAAGTATTGATGAAGCTAGCCTTTATCATTGGAACAATTCAGTGAAGCTTTGGTGATCCATGGCTTGAAAGGTGCAGTGTGGTGGTGAATTGGTGACAATGGAACAGTACACAATCACCAAACATTTGACAAGCTTGGCTGTACACTACCCAAATATTGTACTCCCTGTTTCGTTTTGGTCATAACTGCTAGTCATTGCCTGTAGTTTTGTATTTGTGTAAAAAGACTCCAGTCCACCCAACAGTGGGGAGAAAGTGGGGCAACTTTGGGATTATCCATGCCTCAATTTTTGTTTCATGCAGCAATCATTTTAGTTTGGTAAATTTCACCCTGTTGGAAGCTGCTGAAAACCTTTTTATGCCCACCTCATCCATGTTGTGAACTGCAGACACATGATAGAACTAATCTAGCTGTTGGTTTCTTGTAAAAGCTGGGTCAAGATAGACTGATGCATTCATTTCTGTCACTGCCACAGCTTTCAGGGTGTGTAGTATGTGACTGTCCTGTCATTTTAATTCATGTGCTTTGTTTTGAGGCCTAGAACATGTATTGTCATTATTATGGCTGGAGGATTTGGCTGCCTCTTTATAAATCCCACAGAGTGCAAGCCTATTAGTGATCTTCATAGGGAATGTGCTATACCCCTTGCATTATTTAGAAAAATGTTAAGTCACACATCTGTGAAAAATAATGTTTTCCCTTGAACTGCTTTCAGGGTACACTCTGCCATGCTGGTTATATTAACAGTTTATATTCATGTCTTGCAAAGCACAAACAGTGTCTGGAAGTCAATATTTTCAGTCATGTATGTAGCATCTGGGCTGCTAGTATGAAAACATTGTTTCATACTAGCCAGCTCTGCTGCGCTGGCCACAGGAGTCAAGACATTAGTGTTAGTGAGAGATTGTACTCTCATGGACCAGGCAGTGCTGCCATTGCTCACAGCCACTGCATTATTTCCCACAAATTGTTTCATTGGTAAATGGCCTTGACCTCTGCAGCCTGCTGAAGCAGTTCAGTGAGAGCTGAGTGCTGCCACTGATTTATGTGTGGTGTCCTGTATAATAACTAACCAAAAGCTGACTAAACCAATTTGACTAAACCAGTTGCTGTGCCTCATTTGACCTCATGTTGAGGTTCTTTCAACCAGCTTGCAATCAATCTTTCATAGCTGGCAAGGCAACACTTGGGTGCAACCTGGCAGCAGCAGGGAGTCATTGATGAAGTTGTGAGGGAGGCAGAGCCAAGGATGATGCCATGGGATGGTGGGTGAGGCAGAGTCAAGAATGCCACACCACTCTGCTGAGGATGTGTGACACCTGTGGCAAGTACATGTGATACAACAAATGTATGTTGACACTCAGTGAGCACACGTGGTGCATGTGTTCACTGAGTTTCCAGCTATAAGATGGAGTGGACCTGGTGTTTGAAATTGAATCACACTCCCCTGGCCTGAGCTTGGCAACCTGACATGGACTGATCCTTGAACAGTTTTTACCTTTCTGAGAGGTATAGACTTTACAATTTTATTCTCACAGTTCTTAACAGCTTAGAAGGCACATTCCACACTGTCTGAATGTGTGTTTAGTTTTTGTTTGCACCATGCTGTTTTAGTATACAGCTGATAAATGTTACAGGAGACTAAGAAACTTGTGTATCCATCCATGCTCACAGTGCTTGACATAGTTTGTTTAAATATGGGCATGGATGCCAAAAACCATTGCAGTTGGCATGTCTGTAAGGCCTGATAGCTAGCTTTCTCTGGACCATGGTCCAAGTGGTGTTTTCAGATTCCTTGCCATTTATCAGAACCCATTTTCTCCCAGTCAAGAATCTCAGCTCGCTGCATCATGTTCCTGCAAATACCATGTCCCGAAACCTGCTCACGTACAACTAATGTGGATAATAGGGTTGAAAACCTTCCTAAACTCCTGAAATGAAATGGCAAAGGAGTTGAGTAGTTGGATTGTCAGCTCAGATATCAGAAAGGTTATATGACTGCTCAAATTTTCCTAACTTGGTCCTGGTCATTAGGCCCATCCATCTTGTTACATGGAGTGTCCCACCTTTGGGGCATATTTTAGAAACATGCGCTCGTGAATCCTCAGGACTAGTTAGTCTAATGAAAGCACTTGGTGGTACCACTGCAGCACCTGTCAAGAAGTGGCGCAGACAGGCAGAGTACAGTGCCCCCTCCCCCTTAGGTTCTGGGGGGCGCTTCGTGCCCCTCGGAACCTATGATTAAGGGCCCGATTTGAGCGCGGAATGGCCCACGAAGTCAGCCGGTGGTCTCATTTAGGGGCCTGGCCCGCAGAGCCGGGCACTCCAATGCCAGCCAGAGGGCCCTGCGCGCTGATCAGGGCCTTTTGAATCGATGAGGGCCTATATTTCTGTCAGATACCACCAGCGACGCACGGGCGGCTCCGTGGCGGCGTTTGCCAAGAGCCCATTTGCCAAGCAGGGACAAATCCGGAGCCAGCCATTTATATTGCCCAGGGGGACCCCGAGTCGGCCAGAGGCTGTGTTCGGGGAGGTCCGAAGAGCTTAGAGGGCCGCCGGGTCCGACAATCAAGGACCCGATTGGAGGGTCTAAGGGCGTAAAGGACTGGTCAGAGTCTTATTCAGATGCCCCGACCTGCGAAGACGGGCCCCCAGATAACTGCAAGATTGCTCTTTGCGCCAATTTGGGACCCCCGGAGTCCATATGGGCCTACATGTCGGTCAGGTACCACCGTACCACATAGTCGGTTCCGTGTCAGTATGGGCCTGAGGACCCACTTCCCAATCAGCTACGAAGCCGGGACCAGTAATTTACGCTGGTCGGGGGCCTTGTATCTGTCAGGAGCCTACAGCGCCTGACAGAGGGTCCTGTGCTCGCAAGGGCCCCGAGCCGACCAAGGGATGACGATGACGGGTGACGTTCGATGACGCCCAAAGACGGGCACGGGCGGCCAACCGGACCCGACGATCGAAGGCCCGGTTGGAGAGCATGAGGGTCCGAAGGACTGGCTGTAGGTCACATAAAGAATCGCGGCCCGCAGGGTCGTGACCTGAAACATGAGTCAGAGGTTCTCTTGCTCCGTCTGACCTAGCATCAAGTTTTCTGCCGCTAAGGCAGGCGAGCGTGCATGCTCAAAACTACGCTGCGTCATTTGTACTACTTATCAATTCTGACTAAATTTTGAACATATCCAGACAAACATGGCTTAGCCATGTGAATGCAAATGGTTGGCCTATTTTGATTTCCAGTCTTCATTCGCGGAATCCTTGCTATCTCCGCACGACCAAGATAAAAGTTCTGACGAAGTTTCTGAGCTTTGTCAGTTTAAAGAGAGTTCAATGGGCCTTTGTAAAATGGGGAGCGCCGGCAATGCATTTCATGCAGTCAGTTAACCCATGGTGTCAGTTTATTGACATTAAACTAAAGGCAGAATTGATTTCGCGGTAGCGTCTGACTTATATTTCGGTTATAAATGGTAAAAATGTTTAATATATGCATATATCATATCCAACAAAAACATCTCAATAACAAAGGGGCCATAACCGGTGGTTTTTTTTGGCGGGGGGGATTTTAACATCACGGGGCCCTTTGTCAACCCTGTGTCCCCCTTGCCAAGGCTGTGGCTGCGCCTCCACCGTGAAGTCCACCAAGTCAATATTGAGGACATCAATTTTAATCATTTTTTAGTTCAAATTACGCTGTTTGCGCTTTGTAACAGTAACGCTTAACGCTTCTGTAACGCTTCTGCCTTGCAGCCGCGACCACCGTCGTTATTACGACCACCGTATGCACCTATGTTGATGCGAATAAAAAGAAGTTTATGATTGGCCCAAGGGACAAAGGCCTGTTCCTGAGGAGCAAATTGGTTAAAGTTAAAACCATCACGTCACATGGATCATGTGATACTCCCACTCACACAGCCGAAGTACGCTCCGGAAAAAGCCACTGTAGTAGACGCCACAGGGAGAAATCAAAGTCATAGTTTAACGTTTGGTTGAATTCGTGGGATGATAACTTCATACTTGCATATTTAAATCAAAGTGCTCCATGCTTTCGTAGTATCTATTACACAAACTTTTGAAACAAGTATGTCCCAAACGTTCCTGTACACACACGTTGGAAAAAGCGAGGCAAATGCAATATATTGCTTTCATGGTGGTGAGCAGAGAGTCGGATGAGATTTCTCCCGCAGGGCTGTATCAAATCGAAATTCTGAGCTTTTGGGAAAGATCGCGAGAAAAATGGTGTCCCGGTTCAAATCGTATACGTCTGATGTAACAAGAAGTAAAAAGTAGAGTGAGATGCCCATTAATGCTATGCTCCAAGTAATAACAAAAATGCTGCCCTTTTTGAAACTCTTTCGAACGCCGTTTTTGGGTCGCTTTGGGTTCAGAGCACTCGCGAAGTGAAACGCGTTGCATTAGCCCCGAACCCACCACCCAATACGGGCTCACCCAGTTCAGTATGTTATCTTGCCCCGTCCCTGTCATGCCGGACTGTGGAGGGTTTCACGTGCCATGTGGCCGCACGAGACGTGTCATACTGCACGACACGGCCGCCCCGGGCCAGGGTCACCCTCTTCGGTCAGTG